CCACAATTGAGTGACGTAGGCTAGGAGGTCCCCTGTGGATCGTTGGTGCCGGAAATTATACTGCCTGTCGCTAATCAAGCTGTGACGTTCGAGGTAGTCCAGAAGCTCGCGATTTATGCACCTCTCCATCACCTTACTTAAAGCAGAAAGCAGAGCTATAGGCCTGTAGTTGTAAGGGTCGGTCTTAGATCCCTTTTTTGGGATGGGTTGGACATGAGCAAATTTCCAGTTTTCTGAAAAGGTGCCGGAATCATAAGATATCTGGAAGAGACGCGAAAGAACTGGAGCAAGCTCCGCTGCACACCTCTTCAGTTGCTGAGATAATTCACCGTTCCTGTTTTTTCTACTAACACTGCATATACATATACGTACCAATTCTAAATTTATTTATTTCTGAGTGCAGCGCCATATGAATTGTTGATAACATTCATCATTATTTATATATTTATGTACAATAACTCAACAAATGGGTTACCCTAGTGAAATATACTCGTATATAAAAATGAGAACAGTAAATGAGTTCTAAAATAGTAAAAATATTAAAATGTAACACGAATGTATCACTCAGAATGATAGCCATTATGTTCCAGATAAATATTTTAATTATAAGTATGAAAATTTCAGACACAAACACCTAAAATTCGGTCATGAGTTATCCACCTACCTGGACCGTGACAAAACTCTTTCGATGGAGATAACTTTAAATTATACATACTAAATGAAGATATATTTCATCTAGAGTTTGAAAAAAACTCATGAAATATCCTATATTTATTTGACGTCAATGAAAAAAAGTTTGAAAGAAACTTAAGGTATATGTGGCGAAACTACTAAGTGAATAGAAAATTACTATCTGAATGAAAATAATGTCGTCAAGTAGGTTGACTCCTACTTAATGCCGTCATTAGGATTATGTTAGGCATAAGTTAGGCTTTCTGTGCTACGAACATGTTTAACAAAGATATTAAACAGATCAAGCCAGTCAAGCAAGCCCATGCAATTAGTCATCCACATCTGCGCGGCAGCGCCCACTGCGACACCGCTGCAGGGAGTTTTCTTTCATTCCGGGCATGTCTTGTGCACTGAAGATGGGATAGATTAGTCAGCCGGAACGGCTTGCCGGAGCAGGAGCACACGGATCGAAAATATTTCTCTATCATTCTAAGTTTTACTGGGAAATCTATGATGTGGCTTATAGGTGCATAGAAATATTGGTGCTGGGAGCGTAAAATATACCAAGATGATTTTCATATACCCTTCCCCAGACCCTACAGCCCCCCACCCCGAAATCTCAACCCCTACAAAAAAAAATCTGAAAATGTTCAGTACCATCTGAAATGTCAAAACACAAAGTCTGGGCTTCCTTATTGTTTTGCTTTTTGCTTTTTTCCGCCGCCACTGAACTCTTTTTTAATAACTATAAAGCATTTTTGTCCTTGGCATAGTAGCAATCTTGAAATTCCGAGCGGCGCTTCTCAACGATTAGCGGTCAGACCGACAGATAGACTGACAGATAGGCAGACAGACTGACCGATAGGCAGACCAATAGACAGACCGACAGACAGACCGACAGACAGACCGAATAGACAAACCGACAGACATACAGACAGACTGACAGATAGATCGACAGTCAAACAGACAGACCGACAGACCAATAGACAGACAGACCCACGTAAATTGTGATGCGGTTTTTCGCGATGTCCATGTCATACAACATTCAAAAAACATAATCATTTATTCAAATTTTTTGCGATTACAATACTTCGTCGCCCATTGGCGTGGGAAGTAAGAAATCTAATAGATCATTTAATTGATTTGTAAATTTTCGCCAGACGTGCATATCGAACATGTTCGACCCATTTTTGTATAGTTCTCGTACAGCACTCAAGTAAACTGAAAACACCCCACCTTGAACGAGGTACCATCAATGCAGAGGGCACTCTTGAAATACAAGGCAATCAGAAGTATTTGTGGGTAGTCTAAACAGTCAATAATGCGCTACTTCCTGTCTTAGTATAAAGTAAGCTGAACCGTCTCGATGTACTGAATAGAATGGTTCTTTTCCATTTTTACAAAGGTCCGAGTCGCTATTCTTCGGAAGCTTCATTGTAGATCGAGTAGCGTATACCTACGATGACCACCTACAGACTCTTGAAAAACGTAGCAGAACAACGACTTCTGATAGGTTAGAATCCAAGCCTATATGTTTACATGTGGCACTGTTTGTTGCCAAAATTACATGGTTTAGTTGATTTTTTTTGGGGTATATTTTCCCACCAATGTCTACCAAAGTGATAAGTCAATACATCGGCGTACGCTCTTTCTTTGGAGATACACGTATATTGATATTGTAAATAGTGCTTGAACTTTCCTTGGTTTTTCTGAATAGGTTGTCGTATTCTGCGGCTAAAAGCATAATATATGGAAATTACTGCTGTTATATAATTTTCACTTTCAAAGAATATCGTGGCGTTAAAATGAGAAAACGTATAATTACTATTACCTTTCCTAAGAACTTTTAGATTCAAAAAGTCACTAAGTTAAAGTTTCGCTTGACCCTTTTCAGTGTCCATTAAACATGGTTCACCAATATTTTGCATTTTTCAATATTGCTAACGTATAAAATTTTGTTAAATAGTGCAATGAAATAAATCAAAACTACTTCACTGCTGTGCAGGTAGAAACTCAATATTGCGGTACATGCTCTTTCGCAACGTGACTATAATATATTAACACTTATCGACAATAAGATCTGCTTTGATTCAGCTTCAACTGTTTCTTGCAACCGATTATAACCTTCACTGTTTTCGGTAATTGTCTGGAACACGCACTTTTAAACGTTTCCGCAAAAAAAAATATCTAAATTTAATGGCCTGATTGACTTGTAGCATGCACTTGCACTTGCATTCTGACTGCTGTCTCCGATTTGTTGAAATAGAAAAATATTCGGCCAGTTAAGGGTAGATGAGGACCGAAAATTTTTTAATTTAAATGAGGAATTGAAACATAACTAGATGAGGATGTAATGGATTCTTGAAAAGGTATTACCTCAGCCAGTTTTACTGCCACTGGATCAATTCACGAATACCTACTGGGGTTCTCCGAGTTTGTTGCTAATGTTTTCATTTTTTCGTTCAATAGTGACTCTTTTCCGAATTTCTTAGCACCATAATCATACATCACATACTCTAAACAAACTGCACCTTCTTTCATACATACATCACGCAAATCTATCACTTAGTTCCGCCAATAAGTCTGTTGACTTTCTTCTCACCATATTATACGGCAACCACAGAACTGACATTGGTATGAAGCAATGATGTTTTTGATTACTATAATGTTGATGAATTTTTAAAAATCGTTACAAGCAGGGAACAAAATAATCCATAATGATGTATTAGTATATCCTTGGATTTTCCGATTATCAACGACATCAAAAAAATCTATCGAGCCAGTTTCTGAATTTCCGAAACTCGTTTTTATCAGCTTACATTTTGAAAATAGGAAAGCCCTTTTTTTAAGTTTCACCAGATATTATTTCATTCAGAATTTGTAGTATGAGAGAAAAGTATTAAGTCTAACCAATTGAGCCCATTTTTAAATAACAATGAGTTATTTTGCTGAAATGTGAGCAAGAAAGTAATTGTGGTATTAAAAAAGCCTGCAACGTTCAATTTTTGATGATTATTAGATCTGGACATGCCTTTTATTCGTACACGATTTTTTTAGGTTCCAGGTATACTTATTCGTAAAAAGACGTACATACATAAAAGGTAAGGTTTTGGAAAAATAAAACGTGTTGCTTTCCTTGAGTTGTTTTTCCAATGATTTTTTTCTATGAGTTGTGAGTATCTCCGTCGAACTATGTATGCCTTACTTCATTAGTAGACTCTTTGAATCTCAGAACTCGAGTCCACTGAATGGACTTTTGAGATTTTCAGTGGAATGCGATTGAAATACTGTTTATTAAAAAGTTTACCTGTGAATTTTGTGGGCTTTTGATTTTCAATTGTTTCTATTTTTTTTTAACTTGGTTCATGTATGCGATTATTTAGGTTTATAACATATCCGATAGATATCATCAAATCCTTTCTGTCAATGTATGTACCTACGGCTTGATTAATGAGTTACAAGCTGACCAAGTTTACTTCTATCAACATTGATATTATTAATATGGCAAATTACTTGAGTGATTTAGATGAAACTCTGTGAATCGATGGTAAGCATTAAGCGAATATACGATATTTTAGACGAGTTCCCTCAAGAATCTCACAAATAAAATCAGTAAACCAGGACGCAACTTTTTGTATATTTACGTTTAACGGTACTTTATAATACACCAATACACTGATTCAACTGCTATTCGGTTCAAACTCAAGTTTAATCACTGAGTAAAAGCTTCTGCTATTTTTTTTCAATTATTTGGATGTCTTTTTTTTTCTACATACTGTTTGTATACAGTGTACATTGAATTCGAGCGCTATGGTCGCCAACCCTTTTGATGTGGCAAACATTGTATGTATTCGTCTTTCATACTGTGGTCGCAACAATATTGTCCATTTCGGCATCGCTTTCAATATCCGACTTAACAGACCTTTCTGCACCTGGAAGAAAGAACGATACCGATAATCCTCAGCCTTTTGCCTGGTCTAATCATCTTAAGCGTACTTAATGCTACCCAGGTTTTATTCTCCGCATTCAATGTCACCAAGTTGGGTGCTTTTCTCAAAAGTTTACACCTTACCACTTGCAGCCGTATTTGTAGTTAGCTCGATCTTCAGTTTCCATGAATGATTTTACTACTTACAATAAGATGTTGCCTAAGTCATTTTCATTTCTTATATACTATACTTTTTTTGCACCCTTCCTTCTTCCTTACGTTTGCTACTCAAGAAAAAAGAAAGGGTTATATGGCAGCACCGCATATCTGAAGAAGTCGAATATCTGTGTGTGTACGTGCATGAAGAGTTACCCTAGTTGCAAACTAGATTATTTCTTATCTTTTCCTCATTTTCATCATCGCTTCAGTCATCTTCAAGATACCCCTGGGAGGCTTACCTCAGTCTAGTTACTTTTTGTTTGTACTACGTTGAGAAGTGAAGACAAACGAGAAACGATGTACCAGCGACCTAGTAGTTCCTTTATGTAGCAATCTAAACCCTTTCACTTTCAACAACTCTGGTCATGAATTCACCTCTGTTTACATGTGTGAGAAATTATATGGATAAATACAAATTTACTTGACTAATGAAGTATAGTTGCAGACGCAGTGCTTTATTCAGTGTTGATGTATTTAATACATAAATTTTATAAATTGTTCGTAATTTCCTTTAACTATGAACCTTTATTTTTCCATTGAAGGTGTGTACTTTTACTTTTCCTAACTATGAACAGAAATTATTAATAGATTGGGTGACAGCTGCTAGAGAAACATTTACTTCCTACCTAAGTCGGCAAATTTTTACAATTTCTCTTTATGGTTCTATTGCGATATTTTACGTAATTTTTAACTATAGAACGTTGACTTTTTAAAAAGACATTTACTATTTGGGGCACATTTTTACAGCACCACGCTTTGTGGTTTTGTTCGGTATCGTAAAAATGCGAAGCTTTACGCAAATTTTTATGGAGACCGCCCAAAAATTCTGTACCTAAAGCACTCCACTTTTGCCAACCTTTGCATAATATTTTATGGAACGTTAAAAATTGCGCTTCCGAGAAATTTACGGTACCAGTAAACGAACAACAGTAATTATCAGTTATGCAAAATTTGGAGAAACTAGAGGTACCGGCACGTACCGTTTTTGACCTGACTAGATAAATGGCATTACGTTGTAACTATGTTCCTGAAGGAATGATGAAGTAATAAACCATATATTAGTTCATCAATTACAAATAAATTGTAGGTAAAATATCTATATACAGTACAACTGAATAGTATTTTCTGAGCAAGTAAACTAAACTTGAACACGAAGTTGCTTAAAGCCTAGCTTCAACAATATTAGTTTATCCTCGGGGTTGGGTTTTGGGAAGATATTTGGGCTTTCCAAAAATTTTAGCAGAATCGACCCATTCGGTACTTAGTTTAGCCGATTACAAAAATGCCAGCAGACTGCCAGACAGATGCAACAACGGAAATTTCTGTAATAGATATTTCTGATGACATCAAACCAAGGTTGAAATTCTAGAATGCTTTCAATGCTACTCGTGCCTTTGGTAAAGTTAGTATTGATATTGATGTTGATGTTGATGTTGATGTTGATGTTGATGTTGATGTTGATGTTGATGTTGATGTTGATGTTGATGTTGATGTTGATGTTGATGTTGATGTTGATGTTGATGTTGATGTTGATGTTGATGTTGCTTGATGTTGATGTTGATGTTGATGTTGATGTTATGTTGATGTTGATGTTGATTTTGATGTTGATGTTGATGTTGATGTTGATGTTGATGTTGATGTTGATGTTGATGTTGATGTTGATGTTGATGTTGATGTTGATGTTGATGTTGATGTTGATGTTGATGTTGATGTTGATGTTGATGTTGATGTTGATGTTGATGTTGATATTGATATTGATATTGATATTGATATTAATTTAGGTATTAACAGCGCATTTGTACGTCATTTTGAACTCTATATTCTAGGGCTACAAATTATTTATCAGAAGGTTCGAAACGATGTATCACATCATCACTACTACATTAAGAACATTTTAAAAAAGGGACGCAACCACCATTCCCAATATTTCAACTGTTAGTTTTACGCTAAAATATAATATTCATTTAACATCTTTATTTCCTTGAATGCCGACTTGCTAATTTAACATATTCAAAAATAACTAGAGGAGCGTCACATAAAATGTACATCAAGATATCAGTCATTAAATGTACTGTTTTATCGTCATTCCTATTACTCGGTTATCAGTACGTGTCTATTATAATACAACTGTCGAATACATCAACACAAAAAAAACTTGCAGAACAAGCTAAGCAGTTACCTGGCTCTACATAAAATTTTACGGCTGCAAAATGGAAGGATTGTGCGAAAGGAGTAAAGTGGTAAAAATAGCCATCCTTTATACATACCCGTACCATTGCAACTGCTGCTAAAAAATGCGAAAAAGGGTTTTAACCCTACACTCCGAACCCGTTAGCTTGTAAAAGTTTTACTATTATTGCAGCAAAAAGGCATGGACGAATTGAAGGGAAGGATTATTTTACTGCTACACCGTTATATTGCCAAAAATGCGAAAAAGGGTTTTAACTCTAAAGTTTGCGAGCAAACAAGCCTTTGGATATAAAAAGATACCAAATAAAAGGTTTATTTGTAAAGAAATGCTTGTATTTTTTATTGCAGTGATTGTTGAATTTAGTTTTCTGTGTAAAAAATGAACAGCTTTTTGCCGTATCCTGCAAATAGAAGCTCAATTACTCCTATAGATTTACTGGAAATACCATATAGTTCCTACAGAACAATTCGATAACTTTTTCACTCCCGCGATATACTTTTTCGATTTTGAAATTATAACACACTGTGTTAGTTTTGAATCTGCCTTTTTTAATCAACTTGTTTATGGTATGTCTGTTAGTTTGTCTCGGTATGTTATAAGTAAAAATATAGAAGTATCAAAATGCCCGCCATCTTTGAGCGTTTTTAACTTCCTGATGAATTTTGGACGTAGCAACAGAATTGGAGAGGACCCGAATACAGACTTTGCTGATCACCGCGCTAAAGCTTCTGATTACGATGTAGCGTAATCAAAGCGCTGTGAAAGCGCAAAAATGTTCAAGACTTATTTTTTGAAGTTTTGAAATATGAATTAATTTCATGTGCTTTTCGATTTTCATTTCGATTTATTTTCGAAATTCCATTTTCTATATGTACAATTATTTATTATTATTTTTATTATGTGAACTTCTGTACTCGTATTTTACTAGTTGATTTGTTTCAATGTATATATTCTCAATTTCTTTCAAATTAACTGAGTGATTCAGATGAAACCCATTGAATCAATGATAGACATTAACAAACTGAATCCGTATTGGTTACATCCGTATCAATCATCCCAAGCGCGCTGCTATCCGATTTTATTATTTCAAGGATCAACTAAGTATGCCACTGGTTGATTTGTTAGTGCAGTCAAGATATTTCCAGACGAAAAACTATATTCTTCTACTAAGCAGGCAGTTCAAAAGTTTGCAACTAGAAATGATCATCATATGGTAAATATCCGTCATTTAAACAGAAATGTGAGATCACCCTAAATGTATTTATCAGGAGACGAGAAAAATAACAAAACCCCCAGTTTTTGATGGAAATATATTAACTATACAATTACTGGAATATATCTAACTTCATAAGGATCAAAACTTGAAGGTTCTGTTCTTTTTTATGAGTCCTGGTGGACAAAACTAGATCGATCTAGGAACATTTCACATATTCCAGTTTATTTCCGTGAGTTCCACATTCGGTTGATTTCTATAGCTGCAGTCTCTGAAATTCCTTGTCAAGAGGCAAGCGTAATTTTTGGTTCGTTTTAAAGTCTTAAGCTTCCCTGCTCATACCAATAAAGAAACTAATATAAATTAAGTCCTACTGTCTATTCACAAAGTTTCATCTAAGTTCTAAGTCACTCACATTTAAGAGAAATTAAAAATGCCAATATTAGAAGTAATGAGCGCCAACACCCTTCTCATTAAAGAAGCCGTAAAATGTATAAGTTGTCATGAACTATTTTGTTCGATTTAGTGTGATCTATCAATTGTTATATTATAAACCCAAATAACTGCATGCATTTAAAAAATTAAAAACAACATGAAAACCAAAAGCAAACAAAAATAATGAGTAAACATTCCAATAATCAGTATTTTAAATGCATTTTACATATCTCAAAAATCCTTTCAGTGGAAAAATCCCTCCACTAAATACCTTTCCTTTAAAAAAAGATGCCTGTTGGGTACAAAAGAAAATAATGTTCACAAGAAAACCGTTTCGAGTGTATCAAGAAAGTCATTTAAATATAACTTAAGTGCGAGTCAAGAGTTGTAAAAATAAAAATAAGCGAACCTACTTGTCGAAAACAATTATACAGTAGAACCTCGATAATCCGAACCAGTGAAAACCAGGGCGATTCGGATTAGTGAAAAATTCGTCCTATTGGAACACGTTTGTTTTAAATATTTTAATGAATACAAATTGCAATACATATGTAGGTACATACGGGAAACATGCCAAACTATTGTTTATTGAAGAAACTTGTAATTTTAATTAGCTTAACGTTTTTTTTTTGATTCCTCAAGAAAGCACTGTCTTTTAATCTTAGCAACACTAAAATACCACTTAAAGGAAAGTCGTTTTCTTCCGCCTACTTCAGAATCACATTTAAACTGTTAAGCGCGGTTTCATTTTTTTTATTAAATTACTAGTTTCCTGCTGTTCTTCAAAAATTTGGAATTGTCTGACACCACCGCTAATTCTTCTGGAATTTCCAACATTATTTGCTTCACTAAGCTCAGCGGTATTAAATCATCAGGATTGTCGCCTGACTCCACATTAATCGCTGTTTCACTGGGTAGAATTTTGATCCAGCATTTTTGTAAAACATGTGGGGAAACTTTTTCAAATGCGTTATGCAGCAGGCAACGTCGTATCTTTTGGAGTAATAATCTTCATTAATTTGCAGATGTCTTGTTCATCACTGGAAAGCATGTGTGCTAACAAGCTCTTTCTATAAAATAGCTTTGTTAAGCGAATGGCGTTTTGATCTAATGGCTGAATAAGAGCTGTGCAGTTCGGCGGCAAAAAAGGTGTTGTCAGTTACAGTTGTTGAGGTCCATGACTGGAGGCATTGTCCACAAGTAGAAGAGCTTTTGCGGGTCGTTTTTTTTTTCTTTTGAGTAACGTCTGACCTGAGGAACGAATGAGTGGTAGACCCATTCCTGGAATATATCAGTGGTCGTCCATGCGTTGCGTGATGATTTGTATTCAACCGGGAGTGATGCATTTTTGAAAGCTCTCAGATTTTTATCAGCTTGAGTTTATGTAACCCATCGCTATTCACGCAGGCCAAGAATGTTAATCTCTGCTTGCACATTTTCCGTCCAGGCGCTGTTTTTTCATGAAAGCCTGCTAATGTTTTCTCTGGCAGCAGCTTCCAATACAAAGCTGATCCATCGGCGTTATATATTTGAGAATGAGAAATATTCAAACTCTTGATTTTCTCCGACAATGTCAGTATGAAAGGATCAACAGTGCTTTCATTGCAGTATAACTTTTCGCCGCAAACTTTTAACGGTCGTAAACCATGCCTGTTCCTGCATTTCGCAATCCAACCTTTACTAGCCACAAAATTATCTCTCCCGTAACTTTGGGCATAGAATTTCTTTGCTTTTTCCGCTAAAATTTCGTATATATAGGATTATGCCTGGCTCTTTGCCTACAGAACTAATCATACATCAATGTTTACATATTAGGATACTCTGCAGACCGTAATGTTTTCCTGTTTCCTCAACAAATCTACAATGAAAAAATTATCGCCGTTACATACTACTCATGCATCCAGAATTATACATTTTTACCATACGATTTTTCCTCTGCGCTTATCAATGTCACATATGGTCGATGCGCCAACTCCATACTCTGCAGCGAGTTTTTCCACTATACCCACGATCTAATTTGTCCAGTGTTTTGTTTCAAATATAATATCACATGTTTACGTGTTGGAGTCATTGTGTTACACCCCGACAAGAACTATTTACGACTGTGTCATTTAACGGTGGAAATATCTGTATGTAAATATTCGCATGCGCGTGCAACAGACCTGCTGTAACTAGTTTCGGTTTATCGGCTTTTTTTTAATTCGGATTACTGGAGATTTCGAATTATTAGATATTCGGATTAACGAGGCTCTACTGTATTACAATTTTTGAAATCAGCAGCACCAAAACTGACACAGACATTGGAGGTATTAGTAAATTAAAAAATTGTTATTTTTGTCCAAAAATATTGCACTCAGTTATCCTATTCCAATCGAAAATCCGGTAACAAAAAAGCTCGTTAAAAATAACATATTCATGATACACGATAATATTTTAGTTTCATATTGATATCGATCTCAGTCGAGATCTTATTCCTTTGGTACTTCCGCCAGGTTGTACTTCTGCATACCTGTATTACCGTCAACAAATCCAATTTATAAAAAACACCCCGAAACACGCTTCAAAAAGAACCCAATGAACCCATTACTCCTACACCGCACCCTATGCCGTGCCGAGTGACCTCGGTACCCGCCACTAAAGTAATTATCATTTTGTACTTAGACCATAAAAGTAAACGCCCCAAATATATATTTATGACCACCACAGACCAGATCAAATCGCAGGTAACATCAAGGGTCACCGGAGGAGGGGATGACAGAATATTCATATTGGACCTTTTTTCAAAAAATTATCATTTGTCATCCTGACTGACAACAAGTCGCATCGTCTTGACAGCTACCTTCAGTTCATCTGTTTTCCAAGTGTCGACAAATAGTGACGTGGTGCAATGGCCGACTTAAAAACATCACATTGTGTTTCTGAAGAGAGGAAAATCCGTAAGCCCCTGATGGAGAAGAAACGTCGTGCAAGGATTAACGAGAGTTTGGAGCATTTGAAGCAGATTCTTTTGGAGTGCGATCCTGAGAACGCGGGAAAGAGAAATTTGAAGCTGGAGAAGGCTGATATCTTGGAAATGACCGTCAAATTCCTGCACAATTTGAGAAATTCGCAAAGGTACCAACCATATACGTACCGGCAGTATCATCCTCAGACATTTTCACCACCTCCCACACAAATGAATTCTGTTCGTATCCAGCACAACTACAATTACGAAAAGATCCCTGTGAGTTCAATTAATGTAGGTCAGTTTTTCTATGGAGGTGAAGTGAGCTTTTGTAAAGAAGAGAGGTACGAGAATAGTGAAGAAATCTGGAGGCCTTGGTAGGAAAACCTTGTCCAGATGGGTCCCATTCTGATGTCCAGGAGCAGTGTACTAAGGTCCAATTGCTGGCCGCGAAGATATTCATGAAGGAGGGTCATGGTCATCGAGGAACTTGGACTATTTCTAGCTGTGATATTGTAAATATTTTTTAAAGTATATATTTTAGAACCATTTTTCCTGTTAACTGTATATAAATTTTGTATATAGCAATTGTGATAATATCATTAAAATCATATGAAGAAATTCATGCCATGTATATGTTTGTATTTTCTTTATTTTGTAGTATAATTTCCACCATCGGAATTCTAAGCAAACAAGTACATCTTTTAAAAATATAAAAGGCTCAAAATTTCAAAGCTAAAGTTTAAAATCTGGCATTTTGATTTTATAAAATTTTGGTATACCCAATATCACTCAGGCAGACAAAGCCATCGACACCTCATATATCAAAATTCGTTTAAGCTGTAGCCGGTGAAATATAAATTTGGAATTTTCGAAAAAAAAAAAAGCCATTTTGATTGTATTAAATTTTCGTATACCCTGTCTCAATCGCACTGTCAAGACAAATCTATAGACACCTGGCCAAATTTAATGGAAACACTTCTCACACTATCTTTCTACTCGGAGGTAAAGATAAATGCACTGTCTGGAAGACAGATAAATATAATACAACTATGTTTTAAGTGACCAAATGTAACTTCATATGTAGAATTTAATTTACTGACGTTTCGGATACTTTGAATAAGGCCACTTTGATGACTGAAACCACATTAAAGAATAATGTCTACATCATGTAGTTTCATGTCCAGAAAGATATTTTGTCATTATTATTTTGAATTATTGTTCGCTGAAACTGGCTACTGGACTGATCGAAGTGTTAATAAACTTTTATTTCAACATTATGTGTGCGTTCATGGGGCGGCCAACACTACTCGGAGATTAACTCCTACATTTCACTGTACGCATCATTGCTAGATTGCATTTTTTAAAATAGTATCATTAAGAGACATCTATATCTACATATATATAATATCTAGTAAACTTTAAACCGCCAACAATATAAACATTTCATAATCACCAGTTATAAAACAATCAATTAAAAAAGGAAACAAAAAACTTTGAGATCATAATATTTATCATATCAATATACTTCCTACGCGGCTGCGATAGAGTAATCGCGAAAATTTTTGAAAATGAGGATGGATGTTATGTGACATATACATCATGAAAGACCATGTCACTCATTTCCGTCGGTCTTCCTGTCAGTCCGCTTATCCTTGGCCCATATCTAACTTGAAAGAACCGCTTAAGGTTCCTTTTAAATTTTCACACAAGGTTACTACTATGCCAAGGACATTAACAAAGAGACAGAGAAATTTGAAATCGTGACGTGTCAAACGGGTGGTACTATGTTAGTCCATTGTATTGTCTGATTAACTAGTTTACTAGTTATACATATTCATATGGCAAGCTTTCTTTTCAAATGAGCTAACTTGTGTCCTTTATGAACAGATGACAAACATGAAGACAGCCAGAGATGGGGCTGTCAAATCTGACGTCTGGGTCACTTGAGAAAGAAATCTCATTTCATTTAAACTGAGATCTCATGTATAACAAATGCAACTTATCTTGAAAAATGATGGAATGTACTGGCGGGCTGTCAAAGTTGATGGTTTTTACTTTCCACGCCTACTGGTGAAAAATTAGAAAATATATTATGTTTTTGGATGTTATATGAAAAACCATGTCACTGATTATCGTCGGTCTGTCTGTTTGCCGGTCGGTCTGACGGTCTCTCCCTTAATCCTTGGCCCGTCTAATTTTAATGAAATTTGCACACAGCGTTACTAGTATGCCAAGGACGAAAAAGCTTTATAGTTTTTGATAATCGGTCCAGTGGCGGAGGAGGAATAGGGCAAAAACGAAAAAGAATAAAAAGCGCTCAAAATTCGTTATTTGGCGTTTCAGAGGATCCCCATCATTTTTGAAAAAAAAATGTAAAGAATTGGATTTGGAGTGTTGTTAGGGGTGGGGGAGGATTATCTCAATTTTTTTATGTTAGTATGTTTAAACGCTCCCAACATCGGTAGTTATACGCATTATAGGCATATTCCATTTACCATGGATTTCCCAGTACATTTGCCCTTAAAACTATGCTTTCGATACGGGTCTCTGCTTCTGAGATCTGGAATCTTTTTTCTTAGAGGGGCTAACTTGTGTCCTTTATGAACTGATGACAGCATTACGAGAGTGCAGAGTCAACCTTCCTGACGCCATTTTTTGTGTATATATTGATTTTAAGCTATTTAATTAATTCTAGTCAGCCTTTTACCACTCGTTCGTGTAAATAAAACACCTATTCCGAGAAAACTTCGATTAATACAAATCACTACATACTTGTTATTCTCCTAATATATCTTTCATGAACATTCCAAGCAATTTTTCCGTTTTCATATCAGTAAACAGTGTTACAACAACATTAATGAAGAGAAACATTATCTGTTTCTCGTTATCTTGATAATCCCAAATTTGTGGTGTTTCAATTTAGGTAGCTACTCAGATTTTCTACTTTAAAGTCTTTAAAAATCGGCTGTACCTCTATTAATCAGGACATCTTTTACTAAGATGAGACTTGGCATGAAGTGAATACTCCTCAAAACCTTTTTTGTAAGAAGTGTTGCCCAAGCGGCACTAAAAAACGAACTGATATAGAGGGTGTTGTATATGCCTAAGGCGCAAATTCGTGATTTCTATATATTGATTCAAACAGCTTTTCTGTCACGTATTGGCTTTTGTTTATTGCCAATACTCTCAATGTGTGTGCCAAAGTGCAATAATCACATCATCCGGGATATTTCCAGACTATCTGGAAAAGAAAACGTGTTTCGCCGCCGCTTCACTTTGTTGTACCGGTAAAAAAATGATCTTGGCGAATATCCCATTCGCTGCCCTACCGGCAGTTAATCTGGCAACGTCGCATCTTTCCGATACCTGACAGCACATCGCGTCAGACGCGGCAGCCAGAGCACTTACCAAGACTGGCACGCTCGCCGGTGATCTCATTCAGCAGAAGCAGCAATGCGTATCGAAAGCAAGTTTTAAATGTAAATTTACCGGGAAATCCATGATGTATGAAATATGTCTAAAAGGTGCGTAGAACTACCGAGGCTGGGAGCCTTTAAACATACTAACTAACTAAAAATTGTGACAACCCACCCCCAGTTTCTTATCCTTATTTAAAAAAAAAGATCAGAATCCTCAGAAACGACAAAAATTGAAATTTGAGCGATTTGTATTTGTTTTTCGTTTTTGGTCTTTTCTTCTTCCGCCACTGGACCGATTTTCCAAGACTACCAAGGTTTTTGTCCTTGGCGTAGTGGTAAACCTGCGTGAAAAACTATATGTCAAAACAGGTTGACAATATGGACTATAGTCGAAAAAATTGATGTTATCGTGAATGTTTTCAAATTGTAGAGGTTTTGTAGTTGCTTACACCTTTTTGTAGCCGCATGACATTACAATGGCCTCCTATAGCATTATTTCAATAATTCATTTGGTTATTGAAAATCAATCTTTGCGCTGGTCCAGAACATGGCTAATATAATTACTGATCCTCAGATTTTCAATAGAAAACTATGAATAATGGTTGTTCTTGGTAATCAACGATTATTATAAATCATCCAGTGTCTGATCCTCAAATAAAAATAAACAATTACCAACAGTACTCTTCGAGAAATCGCTCGCGGGAGATACGTATGACGAAAAAAATTAACACTGATCGTATCGAAGATGGCGCCGATCTAAACAATAGCAGGAAGGTCAATTATGTCATAAAACGAGTAACTTGAGATTGCAAATACTCGATGTTCATTTGTTTTTGTTTCATCTAAAGTGGTGGTGCCTGCTCAGGTACGTGATCGTCTTCATCTTCAGTGAGGTCGCGGTACGACTGCGTTATAGGGAGATATGGAGAAATTCGTGGTATTGATTAGTTATGCTTGTTTATTTAGTGTCGTTTTATGTGACGGTAAGTATTTACATATCTGCTCAACCCCTTTCATTATTATACAACCTATAGGCCTAGAAATTTTACGAAAACTAACTAAGAAATAGAATTATTCTATGCTTTTAAGTAAATATATGCATGCAAAAAATGGCATCAAGTAGACTGACTATACTTCCCACGCCTTCGTAATAACATCTTGAACAATTTTCCATGTAGTGCAGTGGCATCAAAATGACGTGGGTTTTGTCAGAAACATTAGTGTGCTATGGGTGTAAACCTATTTATCATTAAGATTTGAAAACTACTCTTGATACGTACTTATATACTATATGTATTATACAATATAATATTACCTAACAAAATAAAGTAACCTCATAAAGGTATACAAGCGTTATCCTCCTATATGCATGTCGCTCCACCGTGCGGTTCGCTACCTGCTTTAGACTTCACATGCCATTGTGGTTTGATAATGACGTTGTATGGATCCATGGGAAAAACCATGTCATTCTGCCTAAATGAATTTTTTGGGATCTATAAAGTAAAACAAATTCTTAGTATTGATAAAATTTAAGTTTTATAATTATTACCGGTACGTTTATGAAGTCACATGACAAGGTAACTGAAGGTAATTCAATCAGTTCCAAGCTAATTTCAAATCAGGAAAGCTTAGGTCAAGTTAAGTTGGATCAAATTAAATAAGGTCGGAATACGTAAAGACATGTAGTGAACTATATATGTAAATGTCAAGCATTTCTATGACCATATTGATGTCTTACTTTAAAAAAGTATTATTTATAAATAGTCATTAATAATAATTTAACACGAGAATTTTAGCTGCTCTCAACTAACGCTACTCCGAAAAACAATACAGCGCTTTTCCTCTTCTACCTATTCTTTGAACGAGTCAACTTATCAGGCTGACATTTGCGGCGATGAAATTTATGCATCAACACTATATTTTGACAAGACATTAGCAGTTGAAAACTTTATTCTTAAATGGACTGGGGGCAGGTACTCAACAACCGATCATCAAAGCTAACGATGTAAAAAATATAGACCATAACGTTGTCAAAATCTGTTATTTTGTCCATGTTTCGAATACCCCCTTGAACGACTTGCGGCAATAAAACCAGACTTTACAATTATTTCGCAAACCAGGGGTATTTTCGTCTAATATGATTAGACTATACCAATAAGGAGCTTCAAAATTAGGTATTACATGCCCCCCCATTCTACTTAAAAATGTTTCTAGATCGCGCCTAGTTACCATCTTGAAATGTCAAACTGTTAAGTTTTCAAGCATCCATTTACTTTTTCAAATTTCATCTTTATAACTTAATCCATTAGAAAAATAAGTATAAGAGCTTTCTGCAAAGCACTGTATATTCTAAGAGGCAGTACCATAAAAATGCTGCAGGTATTATATTTTCAGATTTGCATCTAATTGAGCCAAAACCTGGTCAGTGCTTCGATACATACACAGAGAACCAACCTATCTACTTGGGACGAATTCCCAGGGCCTGCATTAGAAAATTACGGGATCAAAAGGACTGCGTTGGTTTACGTACTAAAAATAACGAAACCATTGTATTGGAATGTAAAGGCTCTAGGTAAGATTCATTCACACCACTGGGCTAGAACTGCTTCACAGTAAAAATTGAAATGTTTCATACCTTCCTCAACAACGCATTAAAAACGTGTAGATCGAGTGTTTCAAATGCGACTCTCATCAATTGGAATCTCGATTAGAGATACGAAGTGTTGAATGTATTCAAGGTTTTGCATTCAGGTAATTAAGAAAATGGCAAACAGACGAATTTTCGTAAAACCGATTTTATTTTTCCTGACATTATTCGATATTTGGAAATAAAAATGCACATAATTCGTCGCATAATTCGAATTTCAGTATAAAGTTTCATCTTTTCATTCCTTATTACGGACGCTATATTGGCTTTGAGTTTTTAATGACTACAATATATAATATGTCATAAATTGACATTGTCAAACCTGAGTGATTTCAAAAAAACTAATCTTTTCATAGTCGACTATAACAAGCGCTATTCTGAAATATCGTCGAGGTTTTTATTTATTCTAAAATGTTTTTTTCAGTTACATAAAATGATACAGTTTTCAATACTACCCTTATGTAACATTCGTTAGCTTTGGGAAGATTACTACTTCAGATATTTGATGTTTTATAATGGGTCAAAACTAAAATTTTCCGACCTGGCTTGGCGAGTCATATCTCAGACCGATCTTAGATGTTTTCCTAGAAGGTACCTATGGAGACATGAGGCTCAAGATCCAGATTAAGCTCCATAATATCTATTCCGAACTAACTGTTCAAAGAACTCTAAAATTACGTTTAAATTTCTATCTGATATTTCGTTCGACAAATATTTAAGTCAATAGTGTTTTTTTGGAAATGTTTCACTGTTTTATTCGATTGACAATCCGAATGCCTTCTGAAATGAAAAAGGTTTGAAATGAATTTTGTCTTCTGGCCTTTAAATTCTCGGCAATACCTTTGGACCCAATTTTCAGTATTTTGGACCAAAATTGGCGAACCCATGGAGGCATGAGACTTTATAAAATTTCAAATTCCTAGGTCAAGCGATTCGCTCTGGAGACGCGTCCAAAGTTTATAGGTTCTAAAAACTGTGAATTCAAGCCTTCTTGGCATTTCCATACTCTCAATCACAATTTTGTCTCAAATATCTGCTAAAGAAGCTGTCAGATCGCAATTTTGAATTCTCCAGACAGTTTTACTCTGAAATAGTCAGATACATACGGAAGTAGCGAGAAAATAGAAAAGTTGCCAAAACGCTAAACTCACATTTTTTACTAACCTTCAAACTTTATGTCTCCTGATCGAAGTGTTTAGACTAGAAATTTGAAATTTTATAAATTCTTATGCCTCCATAGGTTTTCTCCAGAAAAAGTCATTGAGTTCGATGTGAGACATGACCCGCCCTTCAGTGTCATGAATGTCAGTTTTGGTCCAAAATGTCGAAAATTGGACCCAAAGGCGTCTTCGACTAATTTAAAGGCCCAGGCACAAGATTTAATTCATATAGAGAGATATCTCGGTACTTCTGGTAAATTAAAAAAACAATAGATTTGTGCGTTTTTCATTTCGGAAGTCAATTGAACTGTGTTGCCTGTACAAATTTACGTCGAAATAGTAATATGTTATGGGGCCTAATGCTTTCAACGACAGGACCAACGAGAAAACGTGTTAGTGTATCTCCATACAGAACCGTTCGACCTAGAACCCTGAGATTTTGAAAAGCCTTATGCCAGATCGTGGGATTTTGGTCTTGACCCTAATATCAATCCATATCATGATATGCGTCATTAAATTGGAAATATACTGTTCACATATGCCTAGTTCATAAAAGTTGAAGGAGTGCTTAGTTGATGGTACTGTGAAACAAATGGCTATTTGATGATTTCCAGGCCTGCTTGGAAATGTCTGTTCCATTGAAATAACTAACGTGTGACAATCTCAATCTATGACATATATTTTTGAAATCAGAATTAGAAACTCTATTCACCTGTGTGAAAATCCAATGTGGCCTGCATAATGAAAAAATAAAGTTGATGATAGGGAGCAAAAGACGAAACGTCACATTGAAATTCTAATATGCCATCTTGACAAGTAGCAATATACCATTTGTTTTGGAATCCCATTCCAAATAAATTCAGGAAAAAAAAAACGATTTTGGGAAAATTCGGTTTTTTACGTTCATCTCCGGACGTACTCAGGATTGCGAAACTTGCTATGTTCCATCTTCTTAGTTACCTGACTAGAAAATTTTGCCCTTATTTAACCGACTTGGTATCTCTTTCCGTTTCATAGATCCCAATGGTGAGAGTCGAATTTAAAACACCCAGTATAAAAATACATTTTATTTCAAAAATCTCTAAATATCGTGATTTGCTAGATTCAACTTATTAAGATTTTTTGTAATTTTTATTATATGTTATTTCTGATAAAAAATCATTTTTCTTTGCAAGATGCTAACTCACATCCAATTTTATCCTTCACTAGGACGTCTAAGACGTTGGACCCTGGATGTTACCGCATAATAGACAAGGACGGAAGTGATGGAGTGGTTTGTCAAAAATACATGAAGAGGAGAGGCTGTGAAGTGATTACCACACCTAGCAACCTGAACATAGAAGTGTACTGTCATCCTGTGTTGGGAGGTGACGCCAGTGTAATTGTTGTGAAGGATAATAAACCACGAAGGGAGAGGAGGAGCAAAATACATGATGCAAACTTTTCCGCATGATGCAAACTTTTCCGCCTTTTCAATATTGCTACGTCTCAAGATATTGTCTTTAACGAGGCCACTTTGTTTTGTACCTATATTTTAGTGTCCAAGTGAGACGTTTAAAATTTATAACATGTCTGATAGAACATGGTCATTTTTTTATCATGATTAAACTCTTGCCGAGGTGTTGTTAAGTTGAACCGTATTAAGTAACTGATAATCATGGTACTGTGTGTGAAGACAAAAATTACATTTTACTAATTGTCAAATGTGGAATTTCTACATAGTATGATAGTATTAAAAATATTCTTTTTACACTGCTAACCTGAGAAACTATTTATGACCTCATACCTCCAACTAAAATCAGTGCCTGTTTGTCTAAATATCGAGCTATTCGCCTCAGAACAAAAAGGTGCTCGCTCAATGACTATCTAAATAGATATGTAATATAGTATATACGAGTGAATGTATTTAACGTATGTATTGAAATCCCATTTACGCCCATCAAAACAAACAAAAGCGCGCGCAGTTGGCCAGTAGACCATAAATTAAGTGCTCATGTTTGTTTTATTTTTTTCAGCACCATGTATAAGTTTTCGAGAAAAGTTCTGTTGCTTGTGGAAGACCTTTTTGGATATATCTTAAAGCTAGGAAAGCTGCATGTACTAAAACTTGAATAGTCGCCGCGCTAAGTACGCACTAAGAAAATGTTTAAATATATTATACAGCGTGTTTCCATGAGCATTACATAGGCGGAATGAACCTCACTGGCGGGAGGAATATGCAAATCTTCTATCAATGCCGCATCGACTAACGACGTCAAAAGTAACGGCATACTCCCGAACATGTATTAATGAATAACGATAAAAAACCTGTTATTAAAGTTGATCCAAACAGACATGTAATGTGCCTATGCTACATACATACTTCCTTGACATAGCCTGGGACTAAAAGATAATTACAACTGAGAGCCCATAAATAAATAATCATACAGTAGAGGAAGTATCTTCGCCACCGCGTAGAAAAATATTCTTAATTGTTTTTTTTTCATCATTTTAATCACCATGAAGTCTGCATGTTGCAAGCCTCAAAACTGCACCACAAATTGCTTGAGGAAATTTTTGTCTGGACAAAGTTTTTTTAATTCTTTTAATTCTGAACAAAATTTGAAAAGGTACGAAATATTTGACTCCAGAAACATTATAAAAAACGAACATTTTATTATTTCCAAAGCTGCTAAATGTTCTTTAAACAACCATTAACAAGTTCCCAAAGCATTTTAGGAGGAATTATTGTAATTATTTGCTAATTAAGCACGCGGCCGTCCTCTCCCACTCACGCAGATTAACAATACTCGTATTAAAAAGCAAAGGCTTGCAATAACAACATAAAATGCGTTGGGATTTTATTAACGGATGTTTCAAGAATATTTAAGAATTTTGACATCAAAATTTTCGTTTTTCCATATTGCTTTGCAGTGGTTGAAGATGTCATATTTTGTACTGTCTCAAATATTAAATCGTTTTTATTTCAAGAACTGTCAACTGCATAGGAACCTTTTTTGATCAGAATGATCCAAAAACAGAAGAAACCTTATACGCAGCGAAGTAAAACAAGCGTTTAAGCAGCTTTTGGCTGCTCAGTTTTGGGCCTAGGAACATACAAATTCCTTAAAACAAATCCTTTTTGAATGAGATTATGCAAAAAACCGAATCAGGGTATTTTTACCGAGAGAGTACGAAGACACTTCCTTACAATTATTTGATATTTTTGATGGGGTACTTGCTAATGTGATGTAGGACTAGACACAAAATGTTCTCTCTTCAATTGTTACAGTCGACACGATTTCTCAACAGATGCTTACAAAATTTATGTTAACACCTTATCATTTTTGTTTTGATTTAATTCAGGAATACTAAATAACTTTTTAAGCGTTGCTATTAGCTTTAGGGGACCCATATTCATCAAATGTATCATATTTTCATCTATCTAGCATTCCCTACTCCAGCTATTATCGATATTTCAACACTTTTACATATCAGTATGCAAATGTAGCTAGGCTATTACATCTTTCAGTAGTTGCTTGCAGTTAGTGCGAAGGTCAACCAAGTGCAATGTTAACAAGAAACTGGTATTTATTTATGGCTAATTGGGAAATAAAGAGATTATTAACGTTTCATAATATACCTGAGCAGTAATGTGAAACCCAACATGGCAGTGCTTTCGATGATAGAACTGATATTCGTTTCCATCTTCGTTTGGGCAGCAGCGGAAGGTAGGTCTTTTTGTCTTGCTACTCATAATAATGGATATTGGATATCATATACGATCATTAGTATAATTACAATGTCTCGCAAAAATATCACTACAAAGGCCTGCTAGAAGCTGGAATTCCGCCATTTGCGATTGCCCAGATTAATCGGGATTTTCAAATATCGGTATATAGATACTATTTTATTGTTTTGCTGTTTTGGAATTCACTCGGATATGTAAAGCAGATTATTTAATTCCAAATTTGAATCGAATAAAAAGGTTATGATTTTTATTTTACAACATTAGGCTGTCGGATCATCACTATAACAAAGACTGCGGTGAAAGTCACAAAAGGTCAAGCAATACTATGCATTTTTGAGTGGTTTTTAGTAGTGATCCACTCATATAGGATTTTGCCGATAATCCGCCGATACCGATACATCATAAGCCTATACAGGGTATTTCACAACTTATCCGACAAATTTTAACCACATATTTTATGAGCTGTTACGGAAGAAGTTGATTTCCCAAAAGAATTTAATAAATGTCCTACAGAAATCAAGATAATAAAATAATACAGTCTAACTTACTTATAAAAGCTGTTCAAAATTGTTTACATTGGCTGCAATGCAAGCTTGGGCGCGTCTAATCCCATTTCGACACACTAATTCAAATACGCCTCCTTCCTGATGCGTCTGAAGGCTCAAATTATCGGCAGCCACTGTGATTCGGTCACGCAATTCTTCAATATTCTGAACTGGAGTACGTTATGCCTCGTTTATAAAGTTTCCCCATAAAAAAAGTCCAGAAGATTTAGATCGGGAGACCGTGGAGGGCATGCAATTGGTCCACAACTTCCGATCCAGCGTATCTGGTATACATAATTCAAAAAATCACGAACTTATAAACGAAAATGCCGAGGTGCCCCATCGCGCAGAAACTACATCCGTGCTCAGACCGCCAATAGCACATCTTGAAGAAGGACCGGCAAATCATTCCGAAGAAATTCCAAATACTGGTGACATCCATCCGATCTGGCAATATGAACGGTCCAATTAGACTTTCATCGACAATACCTGCCCACACGTTTAAAGAAAAACGATGTCGGAAGTGTGTCTGGACCGCTGCGTGAGGATTCTCAAAGGACCAAACGTGTGTATTATGAAGATTAACCCCATTACGAGTAAAAATAGCTTCATGAGTTGCCAAAATATCAGCTGTAAAACGGGCATTTCGAGCATTTTCTTGCAACACCCACTCACAAAATCTTACTCTTAGGGGGTAGTCTGTATGTAGCAACGCCTGGACTCTTTGGACGTGATAAGGGAACAGTTGGGCCTCATGTAATATGCGCCACGTTGTTGCATGTGACACTCCTGGGATCTTTTGGGCAGTTACTTGTGCTTATTCCCGGATCTTATTCCACAATATCCAAAATTTCGTCTTAGGCATTTAAAACGCGTTGTGGGTCAACCCGAGCCACATGCACTCCACATCTGGGGCGCAAATCTCCTCTAGCACGTGCACGTAAAACAATTGAACTAAATGTTTCGTGATTTAGAATGTGCCTATTCGGAAATCTGTGTACATACAAACGAGAGGCCGCTCGCGAATTTGGCCCTGCTTCTCCGTACGCTAAAACAATGTCCACTAACTCCTCATTAGTGTACACATGTGCCATTTTTCTTAATAAATAACTAAAAACATAAACTCGCAAACTACTTTCTTATTTAACTTCACATTCATTATCGGTATGAAAGAACAAAAAATTCCTGGTATTTTGTTTTCGTCAGTTGTTTGGTACAGCATTTGCTACAATAAATTATTAATGCGTGTTCTAATATCACGACGATGAACGCAAAATACAGATATTTACTTTTCAATTTATTATTTAAACTCAGGTTTATAACTTAATTTCTGTAGAACTTTTATTACATTTTTTTTTGAGAAATCATCCTTTTTTGTAACAGTGCATATGTGGTTAACACTACTTGTCGGATAAGTTGTGAAACACCAAATATTGGAGTTATCCTCCTATCGGCCATTTGATTTTCTTCCGTACACAATCAGGTGTCACCTATCAGGGTGAGTAAGACGGCCATAAACAAATATATTAAAAAATTACGCAACATCGGGTGAAAACAGTGACAAACAACAAGTAGAAAAATAGATTTGTGGAAGCCACACGTACTATACAGGGTGTTTTAAATTCGAGCCTCACCATTGGGATCTCGGAAACTGTAAGAGATACAAAGTCGGTTAAAGGGGGCAAAGTTACGTATTTAGGTAACTAACAAAATGCCACTTAGAAAGTTTCGAAATTCAAAGTACTTCCGAATAGAGTCCGTAAAACCGAATTTTCCCCAAAATGTTTTAATTTTTTCTTGACTTCACTTGTGGTAGGATTTCAAAATAAATTACACATTAATATTGTCACTTATAACGCTGTTCCGTATGCTCCATCCTAACTCTACTGTGGAGCGACTCTACCTGCCTTGCAATGAAGGCTGTATAGGACTAATCAACGTATCCCAGATGTGCCACACGCAAATGGTGCATCTTCCGGAGTATTTCCTAAACCAAAGTAGCGCCCTTATACAACTTATCAAAGAGACAGGTTGCAACACAAAAAGCATCTCGTTTCTGCTGCCTGGTTTCTTACACCCAGAGACTGAAGGGTTTACCTGTGCTATACAGGATAAGGTCATCCGCTCAAGACAATATGACGAGCACATATTGAAGAACCCTATCACTGATAAGTGCCG